CAGTTAGAGGAACTGCAGGAATACTGAATATATCATCTTGTTGTAGTTTCTTGTCGTTTGCATTACTGTTACCTTTCTGAATAAGTCTCAATATTTCTGGCTCTATTTCACATGAAAGTTTTAGGATAGACACCGTAGAGGGTACTGGAAAGAGTTACACTGAGGTTGTGTGGAAAATCTGGGCTGTTTGCTGTTGCTCTATTTGTCAATTCTTTTTCAATATAGCAGTTTTACTCTAAAGAAAACTGTGCGAGTTTAGTTTGATGAGAAACTCTTAACTCAGAAACAGTTCAAATCTAGGACAAAGCATGAAAAATCTTTTCAGTGTATTGAGGAGGTCTGGAGTAGGTTGAAACTAGACAGAGAAAATTAGATAGGTCAACAGTAGTCCGAAAGTTGGATAGTCTCAGAAGTAGGATAGGTCCGGATAATCAGTGCAGTAGTCGCAGTAAACGGTTAAGCGATCCCTGCGATAATTATCCTTTTGAATAGCCATTTTTTGGATAGATTCGGTCCTATTCAAAACGTAAAACAGTGTTGACTTAGTGCAGATTGTGTTAGACTACAATATTGAGCAAGCACACAGGATACTCGCAAATCAAAGATAATAGCGAAATAATGTTACCGGGTTCTTTATCCATAACTACTGCCGATATACTATCCTTACTAACCATTATCGCAAAATCGACTTTTCATACGCTAAACAGAATCGGTCCAAATCTTTTTTCTGAATTGCTTATTGAATGAATGTACAGGCAGCAAAGTAACTTTTTATTCAAATCACTTTTCCATGCGCCAATTTAAACGCGCCACTATTCGCGCCAAAATGCGAAAAGTGATTTGAATAAAGAGATACTTTGCTGCACGTACATTCATTCAATAAGCTATTCAGAAAAAAGATTTGGACCGATTCTGTTCAACTTATAAAAGTCGATTTTGCGATAATGCTCTGTATCCTAGTTTTCCTTGTATCTGATTAATCGTTTGTGCAACCGCTTTTTAACATCCTGACAGTAACCTTCTACTTAAGACGCAAGTTTCCTACAGTCGATCCCGGAAACTCTAGTAATACTAAGTGTTTATATGCACGTACTCGTAAAAAACTTTTGATCTTTTTTATATGAAACCAGAAAAGCTATTGTGTCTAAAATACAGATGGTATAGTATTTTACTTTTGGCGGACAAAAAGCTCTTAACCGTATTCATGGATAAGCGTATTTTAAAAAAGCGAAAGAAGGTTTAGTCGTTTCATTTGAGTCTACTGGTACCGGTCTAACCGCATTTTAACAGGCAGAGAACTCTTAACCATATTTCAAAAAACCTCTTGTGGGCTCTTTAGGCGGTAAACTACTACTACTAATGGATTCAAATGGCTAAACCCTTTTTGGACTTTTTAAAGTACCCTTTTCTTTTCACAGAGTATTGTGAGTTACATATGGAGATTCATGCTGACAGCTTTCGTTTCATATCGCTTATAACGGCGTGTAAAAAGAGGAAAATATCTGTTGACCAATACCAATGCACTTGTAAAAATCTCTTTTTAACCCATCTGAGTATACTATAATTCATATCTACATGCTGTTAGCACTTTTTAGTTTGACTGGCATTCATTGATCGACAATCAAGTCGATAGAACTGATTTAGCTCATAATATTCGGCAAATATATGTCCTAAAAGCTCGAGATCCTCCTGAAGTAACTTTATCTGTCAGTGATGAAAATCAAGTTTTATCAGCATGTCGTCGTGCTGTTGAACCACAGTTGGCTGAATTATTTCAATCCATTGGTGCCACAGACAAACTATTATCATTGGTATTGAACTACATCACAACAGTAAATGATCTAGCCGTTTCGATTCGTGATCAAACTCAGTTAAATAATATTAAATTTGGGACAGCTATATTGCAAAAGTTAACGTCAAAATTAGAGCTGAGAAGTGAATTTTTGAGTCGTGATTGGCCGGTCACTGATGATAATAATGATAGTTTATTAGATACGATTTGCTACAAATATCCAACGATGTCATCATTTCGTGCATTATCATATGAAAAAATTAAATCAGAATATTTGAAAAGTGGAACAGATATCCAAAATGAAATATTAGAAAAAGTATGGATTGATGGTAATAATGTGAGAACAAAAATCAAACAGTACAATCTACCGCTATCAGTGGCAGCAGCACTGGAGGAAAGAGGTATCTCTCAGCTGGAGGATTTGACTGAAGATGATGTAAAAAAACTTATTCGTCTTGACCACAACGAAGTAAAACAAAGACTATCATCTGCCAACAACAACATTGCAAAAATAAATGCAATCAACGATAAGCATGATAAATTTAAAGCAAACTTAACTCGTTTACTGAAACAGGAAGGTCGAGCGGGTAAACAAGATGCGATTCAACACGAGAAAGAATTGACGAAGAAGCAGGAACGTACCAAGGAAGCAATCAAGAATGTTCAGGATTTGACTGAAAACTTTAAAAAAAATGTCGGAAATAATAAAGATCAGTTGGAAAAACATCTGAGTGATATTGCTTCTAAACTACATGTAAATTGGCGATTTAGTGAAGATGAATTAAACAAACCAGATATGTTGTTGAATTCGATTTTAAAAGAATTGAATACCGTAAATACACAATTCAATAGTACCGCAGCGTACAAATCGGATGAAGACATTGTCGAACATATAAACGGTGGAATTGTACTATATGGAATACAGTTGACGAATCCAGACAGATTAGGTGAAAAAGCTCAACGACCTCTGCTTTCACGTCCGGCGTATTGTCCATTGTTAAGTCCATCGTTAATGTTTGAGTCGACTCAACAAAAATTTACTAGTCTCGAAGCGTCAAATCAATTTACACAAACAATAAAAACCAGTGGTCTTACTGTAGCAGCACATCTTGAAGCATCCGGTTGGGGAGTATCAGTTAAAGCTTCTCATGCTCAAGGTAAGAAACAGAATACAACTACATTTGTACAGAAGAAAACACAATCAACAATCGCTATTCAAACCGACTATACCGTTGTACCGATAAAATGTTTTCGAATACCGCGTGAGGAAATGAAACTATCAACTGAAGCTGAAAATGCATTAGCTGGTGTTAACACTACGCAAAAAGCAAAAGAATTTTTACGACAGTTTCACTCTCATGTAAGCGATGGGGTTCAACATATTGGCGGTATTTTCATGCGTACAGTTACTGTTGAAACACAGGACGAGACGGATGTTGAAACATTAGAAACAATGGCAGCGAAAACGATGAGCTCAACAGCAAGTGTTGGAGCATCATTTGGTGGATTTGGTGGAGGAGCTGGTGTTTCAGTAGAATCGTTTCAAGTTGACGCAAAAAAAGAAGGGAAAGAGACGATTAAGCGTACTGCAAAGATCACACGAAAAATACAGTGCATAGGACCTCCATGCTACAATTCGGATTTATTTGTACAAGCATTACATTCAAATAATTCGTCGTGGTACGTGATTGATCGAGATTCATTATCTTCGTTTATACCCGTATGGGAAATAATTTTAAAAAGTTATGCGTCGCAAGCGTCATTGGTTGAAGCTGCGCATTTACTGAAACGGGTTTGGCTACAAGAAGCAGAAAACTATGATCATGTTTTGTTGATTCAATGTGAAATTCAACGTGTGCGATTTGGCGACTATACTGTTGGTGTTAAAACACCTAGTTTATTGTCGAGTTCTTCAAACGACGCTGGCAAAAATGATATCGACAAATTAGATGCAGAAATTCAAAACTGCTTAGGTGACTTTGACGTTTATGAATTAACCCCGAGCATGCTTTTAAATAAAGTAAGATCTAGAGCTTCTTCTACGGAATGTCAAATTAGTTTCTTCTTCTTTTGATAGGTTTGCTCAGTTTTTCAATTGATCACTGTACGGAGTAACATTTGTGGATACGATTTATTACCCGCGTTACTTGGACGAGATTCTATGAAATCATTTTTAAAATCAATAGCACTCTGTACCGATGAAGCCAAAATTGATCATATTTTATCAGTTTTATTGAATATCTTTTCAGCAGAAACATTACGACAGTTATATCAAAAACAGATTGAATTAGAGCCAGAAATATTGAGACTTATTCAGAAAGGTAACAGTAATGCAAACGACAAGAAACTACAACAAGATGATATATTCAGTATTCCTGCAGTTCCTCTAACTGAGTTGTCGTCATATCTGGAGACGCTAATGACAAAGAAAAACAAGGCAGATTTTAATTCCGACGCTGTATCAATTATTAGCAAAAGTTTACGAAATGCTGCTGGTAGTGGAGAAAATCTGCAGAAGTTGGAAGAAATTAAAAATATATTGATTAGTTATGGATGGTCAAATGATGTGGACGGATTTGCTGCACCATTAACCGACGAAGGTCTCGAAGCATTGTTCGCTGCTATGGACGATGTTTTTCGAAAAAAACAGAAATCAACATTAAGCCGACAAGCGACTTTGCAATCCGCAATGTTTTCCGAATATAACTCGTCTGTGAACCAAGGCAAGGGGAACGAAAAAATGTTGTATAGCTATACGGATTGGTTAGTTGATCGACCAATACCTCCATTTTCGGAACCAGTTTCTCGATTTATGGACATATTACGTCACAGATTAAAGATAACGCCAATCGGCATTAGTGCATCATCAACAGCGACGACTACTAGCAAGCCTCAAACAGCCAAAGTCTGGGGAAAGAAAAAAGCTGCCAATCCACCATCAGTTCCAAATGATACTTCAACAGCATTACCCGCACCTACTGCCTCTTCTCCTGTTCAGACTTCCCAATATTCAACAATATATGATATATTGATTCATATTTTAAATTACTCAGATTTATTGAGTCAAATCGAATTATTTCGTTTACTGATCGAGCGCCGTACCGCTGCTCCACTACTCATTCCTGCTTTGGACTCAGGCCGTCAACCATACAATTATTTAATCAATGCTCTATCCTTTGTTACTACCAAATTATCAGGACAACGTGAATACGACTTGAGCACTGATTGTTCGTTGTTACGAATAGCTATTATCTCCATGCGATCATTAAAACACAGCGAGAGTAGTGATTGGTTGAAACAGGTTTTCTCTTCCCTCTCCCTCTCTTCGCCTGCGATTACTTGCATTCAATCTGATCAATGTATTGCCGAAATTGCAGTCGGTTTTATACCCTGTTCAGTGGAAGACATCAAGAAGAATGAAAAGCATCGGGAGGTACTAGTTCTGAATGTTATTGGAAGTTATTTAGCCATCTGGCCTTACATTCAACAATTTGCTGACGTAATAATGGCTGAAGAAGATCCCTCAATTGATGGTGGATTTCAACCAGTAACACCATTGTCAGACAACTGTAACGTAATCACGTGGAAAAATGCTAGTGTACAAGCTGAGCCGTATGTGACAGACGATAATTATCTCCACTTATCCAGCAGCATCATTCAGAGCGTCAATGATATACAAAGTTCTCTAGCAGAATTATTGGAAGAGAGAGAAATTGATACACCCCGCCCATCTTTGAAGTCAATGGTACATACTGAACTATACAATACTGTACAGATAAATTTAATTGATTCCGAGAGTACTGTTAGTAAACAGGACTATACTAAAGTACGTGTTAAAGAATTAAAATTACAACAAATGTTTGTAAAAGAAGCGGAACAAGTTGCATTGAAAAATAATAATAAAAGCAATAACGCTGAACAACAACGAATTCAACGAATAATTGAAGACTGCAGAGATCAGCGTATCCAAAACGCTTATGAGGTTGAAAAACATCCATTGATAAAGTGTTTTACCGGTATTCTCTCGCTTGATAATCGTCAGCTACGTACGTTATGTGTACATCAATTTATCCAACAAATTGATATGCATTCACGATCGGCAATGAGAGAGCTCATAAATAAGAAGGATGAAGCATTCAATGAATATGATCGAGATCAACAAAACTTGTCGTATTTTGAAGCAAAACGTTTGTATGCAAGTAGTGCTCTGGGAATTGAACATTTATGGAGAGAAATATGCCACTTATATGCAAGCAATCCTAGAAGGTATGAGAAATATCCAGCATTGGCAGCACAACATTTAATTGACGGTTTTGCATTAGAACTATTGGATGGTGATGCTGGTATGTTAGAACAAAACTGGATTAAAGCAGTATTTGCACAAATTGAAGAACAACTCATGAAGGAACGTTCACCTGATATGGCAAATCGACCTACTCGAATATTTATCCTGAGCATATTAGGAGTGCAAAGTACGGGAAAATCGACTCTGTTAAACTTAATGTTTGGAACTCGTTTACGTACGAGTGCTGGAATGTGCACACGAGGAGTAAATATCCAACTGCTGAAAGTCGAAAATCGGCCAGAATATGATTATATATTAATATTAGATACAGAAGGTATCCGTGCTCCTGAACACACAGGACTCAAAGACTCAACATGGAGAGATAATCGAATGGCAACGTTTGCTGTTCTACCCGCTGATGCAACGATTATTTTGATCAACAGCGAAGATGATAGTGCTGCAAGAGAAGTACTTCCGATCGTCATGTTAGCCTATCAACAAAGTGAACTTGCCGCATCATCTACTTCTCAACTAAGTGCCCGAGTATTTTTTGTCTACACACGAGTTGACATGAACGATACGAAAAAACTTGTCAACAATATTCAAGCAATGTTTATAGATTTGAAAAATAATGCCGAAAAACTACAACAAGGGGGAGGAAATCCAAACGAACAAAAAACAAACCGCGTATTATTTCGTGACTTTCGTGTCAAAGCTGAGGACGGTGAAGTTGGAGGAAAAGAGAGTGATATCAAGTTTTTGGGTAAAGTAAAAAAATCCGACATACCTCCTGATGATGTCCCTGATACGGATTATGGAGAGGCTATAGTTCAGTTGAACGAATATATTTACAATAGACTGGTATCAAACAATTCAGATGGACAAAAATGGAAAGCAAGAGAACTTAAATCATTTGCACCGTACCTTGATTCTATATGGCAATGTATTTTGTCCGTCGATTTTACACTGTCATTCAAATCTGTCGTGGAACGATGGGCTTATGATGAATTACAAATTTATTGTGCTAAACAACGTACGAAATTAGCAAATTTATATTCTTCTAAATACGACGAAATCGAAGAAAAAATCTTAGCAGAAAACATACCAGATAAACCGGAAAAAATGAATGAAAAAGCAGAGAGTGATCTATGTAAAAGTAAAATAGACCAGTATCAAGCGGAACTCTCCAAACTAGTCGATACAAGAGCTACAGAAATTGACAAAGAAGTTTTGAATGACTTGAAAGCTGAAGTAAGTTTTGTTAAACTGGTGGCTTTCCCATAGATGCATGAGTGTTTTCTGTTTAATCAAGGTTTTGAGCTTAGAAAGACTTATTAGCTTGACCAACACTCTGGTGGGTCAGAAGACTATTTTCCTTTATATTATTTGTCGTATTATTTATACGGCATCCACTGAAGGCTGTCATAGCTAAATCTGCAGGAGTAAATGCTATTGAGTATCGTGTGCACTCCTCTACTAAACAAACATTGTCCAACTCTTGTATGCATGTAGTATTCGAAGCTAAATTAAGTACCATATGTAGAGATACTGGGGAATTAGGTTCTGTGTCCTATTAATGGTTCGACAAAAAGAGTTTGATTCCTATTCTGAACCTGTAAGAGTGACTGAAAAGAATCTAAAAGTGGTCAATTTTCTAAAAAATCTTTTACAAAGTTTATTAGAATTGTTGAAATTTCTACCAACAGGAACTACTCATTTTCAATTTTTATAAATCTTAGGTCTGTAACTTTTTTCTGTCACGCACATGTCTGAGCAGTATGTCTTGAGCGAGACTCATCCCATTTATTTTGGAATGCGGTATAAGTAAGCAATCGCTGACTACACCACCAGTTACGAGACGGATTAACTACAGGCATTAGTATCATTCCCGTCACCTTACACTTATTTTTTGGGCTGTTTACCACTATGTGACACCCTATCTTAATAGAAATTTTACAAAATAATTCCTGCATAGATTTGTCTGCTACATCTTTATTTAATATTCATGACTGAATATCTCCAAGCAATCATAGAGCTGGAAAACCGTAATTCTAGTTTTCCTAGACAGAAAAAACACTTGTGGCAGTTGCCGAATCCATTTTTTTCTCATGCACATAAGCCAGTTTAGTAGATATAATCAAATTTTGCTTGGAAAATAAAGGAGAGCATCTTATATGCTTTTCAAAACCACTGTAATTATTAAATATATTTGACTAGGACCTGACTACTGATGACTTTAAAAATCGTAAAAGTTCAAGAAAACAAAAAGTGGGAACGTGTATAAATTTTATGAGACACTCACTAGTGGGAGAGAACTAAAGTTAAGTGCTCTATAAAATTAATATTTGTTATAGCGTTGGCAACAATGGTTTACGGGCAACAGAGACAGTTGGATTGTATTTAATAAAAATCAAAAGGTTCACAACAACTCTCGAATACATCAATTAGTTACAAATCGTTTATCGTACGATAGCAAATTAATTTATTATCAGCAAGAATTACGAAAAGAAATTAGTAGTTCATATCAAAAAAAGACAAACGAAGAACGATTGGCAATATTGAAAAATACAGTCAAACAGGAACAAGAATTTAATAACATTTTTCATGATATATTGCTTGATGCCGAGAAAAAGCATCCAACAGAAAAAGTTGAAGCGAGTATACAACAATTATATTTGAGTAACGAGGGAATCGGCAGAGATATTAATTTTACAAGAAAACATATGGAAATAAAAGTGCATCAGCACAATAAAGCATTATCGTCTTGGTTTGATAATATAGGCGGATTTCTAACGAATTTCTTTAGTGTAAATGATGTAGAAAAAGAAAAACAGATTATGCGTGACTTAACCAAAGATATTGAAAATTTATTAAAACCAATCAAGCGTTATTCTACATATATTGTACAACAAGCTGTCAATCTTACCGAATCGAAACTACATGATTCAGATTATGGCAAACGGAAAAAAAATCGCGAACGTGCACATCAATTAGTTTATGCATTATTAGTACAAGAATTGACAATGAAACAGCATCAATGGGAAAAACATAACTCTATATCCGTTCGTCTAAACTATGCTAAGGATGATTTATGGAATTTCTATAATAACACAATTCATGGCATTGTTGGTGTTGATCTCTTAACGTCAGATTTGAAACTAGTTCTTTTGAAAAATGAACGAAATGGATTAATGGCTGTAATTGGCAAGCATATCGTGAATGATTTACAAAGTGAAGCGTGGGTAAAAAACAGTCGAATGTTGATGGCATATGCTGATCTCGAATTATTGGAACAAATAGATGCCGGAAAAATTGATGAAATGATTTCCAATGTTACTAATTTATCTGTTCATTATCAAAAAGTTGTTGATAAACTTATTCGACAAAAAGTTGTTAAATGTGTGAAAAATCAATGGACACTCTATCGTGGATTACTTGTATCAGCATTGAATATGACAGTGATCAAAACACAGTCATACAAAAATCCAATATGTAGTGCAGATGAAAGAGATCAATCAAAAATTTCACAAGGACGCACCAAATTCTTTTTAGAAGAATTAAAGAAAAATTTAAATGATTATAAATTACCAGTGGTATTTTCTGATGCTGTTCAAACATTCAGCAGTGGAAGTTACGATAGATGCGATGATGAACCGGCTGAAATGTGGAAGAAAATGGAAGTCGATTTAATTGCCAATCTAACACCAGCGGAGAATGGCATCACGTTAACTGAAAACGAAATACAATCGATTGTAACGACAGCACGGGACGAAATGATTAATAATCAACAGAATGATGCCGTCAAACTAAGATGTTCCGTGCCATGTCCTACATGTAAAATGGCATGCAAACGATCGTTTGATCATACGCTTACAGGTAGTGATGACCAACGACGACATGATTGTGATCATCAGTCAACCGGTTTAGGTGGCGATTTTTGGGAAAGCGAGGGTGCAAGCAACTATCGTGAATTATGTTACGAATCGTGTTCAAATCATGTTGCAGCAAATAACAGGTTTTCTATCAATGGAACATTTTATTCATACACAGATTTTGCTCAACACTATCCATGGCTAACACCACGAGCAACAACAGAATTTATGCATGAAGTGAGACAATATATATTTTACAATTATCAATCTCAATTAGCTAGCTATTTTAATCTTTTACCGTGCTCCAATAAACCGGCATCTTTCAATCATTCGCGAACATATTTGAATGACACGCTAAAAAAAGTTATCAATGATAGCATCTAAAAATCTGCTATGAACGAACTTATGAGAAGGCAATTTGGTAAAGAACGATTTTCTTAACTTCATTTATGGTTTAAAAAGCATCATTCATTGGATTTATGTTTTGACAGACTATTGCTCTCGACTTTAACTGAGATAGTTATTCGAGAATATAATTTGATAAAGATGTTGGATGTATGAAAGTAAATTAAAAGCGTTTACACGCTATTACGCTTAACGCATTACTAACTAAAAGAGAATAACAACGGCTTCTTCTACACAAATTCACGGTAATTTCGTAGTTCGACAGAAACAGTTTTCGACAGCGTGTTTTGACAGTGTCAAATTTTGAGTCAAAAAATTTCGACACTGTCCGATTTTTAGTCTGTTAAAAACGTTTCGCTCTAAGTTCGACAGTGTCAAACTTTCTCACTCGGAATCCGACAATATCGAAGTGTTCTGCTCGAAATGCGACACTGTCGAAAGCTTGTCAATTTCAATATTGTCAAAAATCGAATACATACAAATTTTGACAGAGTTTTTAAAAGTGAATAATTTATTTTGTTGATATTCATATATTATGAGATTTTAAATATATACGTTCTGAATAGCTATTGTATCATTCTGTTTTAGATTCTTACATTTGAATAGTCCGTCTGTTCATTATTGTATAAACGGAATAGTTCGTCTTTTTTGAAATAATATAGTGAGATACAGATTGTGAGAACACACAGGTTCCGTAACTATTAGAGCATACCCCAGTGTACATCCGTTAGTCGAACACTATTTGTTTAGAGTGTAGTTTAGAAGAAAAGTATAAATATATTTATTTTTAGTTTTTTGGTCTTTGAATAACTAGCTGTTGTTTTTCTCCGTTTTTTGCTGTTGTCTGTTCAACCCAGTCTTNATAGTTCGTCTTTTTTGAAATAATATAGTGAGATACAGATTGTGAGAACACACAGGTTCCGTAACTATTAGAGCATACCCCAGTGTACATCCGTTAGTCGAACACTATTTGTTTAGAGTGTAGTTTAGAAGAAAAGTATAAATATATTTATTTTTAGTTTTTTGGTCTTTGAATAACTAGCTGTTGTTTTTCTCCGTTTTTTGCTGTTGTCTGTTCAACCCAGTCTTTTGTCTTTTCAACATGTAGTCTCTTTCTAGGACATTACTTTTCAGATCGAGCATTATTAGCTATGAGTTTACCTCGGTTCGAATTGAGATGAAAGGCAGAGAAAACGTTAGAAAAGACACATTGTGTAAACAGTTTTGCTTAAAAACCATCTCATATAAGCGACGACTGAGTTGCGTAGAACACTGCTCAAACGTATGTTACAGAACTTGTTCGAACCAGTCATAAAAAACTACATAAACATTTCTGAATAAAATGGCGTTTCCCGCTTGAGATTGGTTGCCGAGAAACAAGCAATTTAAAATTTCCACTTACTTTTAACAAATGCGACATCTCTTATATTGACAACTTTGTGTTGGTCATATATGGGCAACCATAGAAGATAAAGAGCTCAAACTTTTAGCATAAATAGAATCAACATTCTTCTTCTATTCAAAATAAATCCGAACTCTGACGATATCTCATTCTCATATACTGACATATGTCCGGTACGTTCTAAACGCATATTTTGTCCACTTTGAAATTATATTGTCTCGAAACGAAATACTTTCATAAAATTTTGAGAACGCTGTTAGGTAAAGCATTTCGAATACTACAAGACTTCAACGTGTCCGCTTCTAGTTCACTTTTTTTCAGACAAAAACTGCACAAAAATTAGTACTTTTAGACGAAAATGCAAGTGGAAAAACCTCACTTTAAGTGCCTTTGAGTTTGTGTACCTCCGAATTAAGTCTCACTTTAAGTGTTGAGAACAAAGTCGACTAACTTAGCGCTCAAGAGCTGATACACCCGATAGTTCACTAGCTGTTCGTCTGAAATTCGAAACCTGTCGATCCTGGTACTCGTACCTGATGTGGTGTTGTAACGAGTATTATGCATAGAAAACTGATGTCCAGAGTTGAGCGGACTATATCATATGAAAAATCAGAATCTTTAAGACCTACTATTGCTTGCCATATGTGAGTAGTTACGTTAGATAATAAAAGTAAAGCGTTTAGAAAAACTAGCGAAGCTCTCATACATCACCCCGTTGTCCGTCCGCATATACTATATTTAATGAGAATCTTATTCAATTTAGAAAGCAAGAAAGAAAAAAGGAAAATTTTAAAATAAAATAAAACATTGTTAAATATAAATATA